TGCCCCGCCCCCTGCAGGTGGAGGGTGGGCTCCGCTGGGGCCCCTGTACTGCGTCTGTCATTGACCCTGGATCTCTGCTGCGCAGGGCTCACTCCATCTTCCAGGTGGAGCCTTGAGGGGGCAGGTTAGACGTGGAACTCAGGGAAGAGGCCTCTGTGGCAGGAGAGTCAGGAACACTCGCTGAGCACGGAGACAGCTACAGAGGACCAGATCACAGACCCCAGAGCCTCAGAGCTGGGGGAAGGAAGGGGGGGGTCTGTCACAGCTCAGCTGGCAGCTGGGCAGGCAGGGTCCCTGGGGCAGAGACCCTAGCCCTGCTGAATGTCTGGTCAGTGAGGGAAGCAGGGGAGGGCTCAGCGGCACAAGTGTGGGTGGCAGCAGGGACAGGCAGGGGGCCAGCCTGGCAGTGATTAGGGGAGACCTTTCCCATGGGGGAATGGCCAGAGGGAGGCACACAGAAGGTCCCTGGAGAGCCCACAGGGGCTCTGGAAAAGGCTGCAGTGCCCGGCAGGAAAGGAGGGGGTAGCAGTACATCATAGTGGGGAGTGGGTCTGGAGAGGACAATGGGGGCAGCTTGTGGCCAGGGTCCAGGGCCTTCTGTGCCAGCCCTGGAGGCACAATGAATTCCGGGGCCAGCCGAGGCTGGGAGTGAGCAGCTCACGGACTTCCTGCAGGGGCCTGAGTCTGGGTGAGACAGAGGAGATGGAGCCCTGTTAAGGGAGCACCTTGTGGGAGCTGGTGTGCTGCATCTCAGGCTCACTCACTGCTCCCAACAGTCCTGGGGAAAATGGGTGCCGCTGTGCCAGAGGAGGCAGTCGGGGAGGGTAGTGGGCTCAGGAGGCAATCTGACAGAGGGGCGTGGAGAAGGTGGGGCTGGAGGGGCAGGTGTGAGACGCCAGGGCTTCCAGGGGCTTGGGCAGGTGCAGGTGTCATCCAGGAGTGTTGCAGAGATATTGCACTTCTAATAAGCTTCCAGGCAAAGCTGCTGCTGCTGGTCCACGGACCACACATTGAGAAGCCAAGGCTGTCTGTCAGAGGTCATCTTGTTCATGCATTCATGTAACGAGTATTTATTGAGGCTCGGCTTACTACGCGTCGGGCACTGGGACAAGTGGGGAAAAGATAAGCTTGGCCCTGCCTTATGGAGTGCCCATTCCAGCCAAGAACACAGGCAAGGAGAGAGAGAGAGAGAGCGCGAGAGAAGGAGAGAGGGAGGACTTGAGTTCTATACGGGCAAAGGGGATTGTTTTTTTCCCCCATTTTACAAACGAGGAGGCTGGAATTCAGAGGTTAATTTACCTGACTGGTACAGACGGCAGGAGCAGATTGCCCAGCCAGCCCTGAGCTCTGCTGCCGCACAACAGCTGTTCCGCCCACAGCACCCCCAGGCAAGTTCTAGCGGAGCCTGGAGCCTGCAGGTGAGTGAGGCTCTCTCCTCCCTTTCTGAAGGCTCCTTCCTGGGGGAGCCGATGGGGGGAGGCAGGAGGGGAGACCTGGCTCTGTTTTCAGGGGTGTGTCTCACAAGGTCAGAGAACAGTTCCCTGAGGACGGGATGGCCCTGGGGCTGGGGCTGTTCTGCAGGGCAATCCTAGGAGTAGCGGTACAGACTTCCCTGGGAGCAGCATGACCTTGAGCTCGTCAGCTACCCGCTTTGGGTCTCTGTTGCTTTATCTATAGGCCTGAGTCGCTGGCCCAGGTGCTCACGAAGTCCTTCCAGCTCTGAAGGACAAGACTCTAGAGTTAGCATAATAGCAGTTCCAATCTCATTAAACCTAATGGGAATGGGGAGATGGAATGGGATCAGCATGCTCCATGGAGGCTAGGATTTTCTCCCCTTCTTCTTGGTTTAAGTTAAAGCAGGGCATCCCAAGAGATGCCTGGATACCCAGTGCTGTCCCTTAATGTCCCCTGAGACTGGTGGTGCCCAGGACAGGCTGTGTGTGACTGTTTCCAGGACTAAATGAAACTCTTTCCACCATCCTGTAGCCCCAGCACCTGCAGGGACAGGAAGTCATTCAGCCTGATGGAGGCTAATGGCATCTTGCAGGGGCTGCGTGGGGCCTCCATTTGCACCCAGGGAGGCATGAAACCTTCAATTATCAGAAGTGGGGCTTTTGTGTTCACCTGCTGGACCGAGTCTCTCCTTGAAGGGAGTAATTAAAGTGAGCACATGGGGGGGCTTGGTGAAGACGCCGGTAGGAAGCCCCGCCACCAGGGAGGAAAGAGCGAGGAATGGGCACTTCTCTCGGAGCTGAGAGCAATTCCTACCACAAGGGGAAGGGGCCCTTCGGTGCTTCCCCTGAGGGGTGTGGGAAGGCTGGGGTGAGCAGGGGAGGGCGCCCTGGAGGAGGAGTCTTGCACACAGGGCTTCGGGTCCTGGCTCCACCTCCTTCTGCTTTCTGGCTTTGAGCAAGTGGTTCTGTGAGCCTCTCCTTGCCGGGGTGGTTATGGAGATGAGCCCTGAGAGGGGCGCCGGGGACACCAGGAGGGGCCAGAGGGAGTGCAGCGGTGGGCAGAGGTTGGAGCGAGGGACTTTTAGATGCAAGCTGGGTGCTTGCTCAAGCTCTTTCATTTCTCAAGGTCTCAGCTCTCTCAACTGTAAAATGGGTTCACAATGATCCCTTCCTTCCAAGTGTGCGTGCACACAGGAAGCCCCCACCAACAGAGGTGGTCCCCCTGGCTCTCCACTAGGCCGAATGCACGGTGCACACGTGCGCGGGCTCTCTATGGACCCTGGCTCTGACCCTGATCCCAGTGACTATAGAGTTGGCCCCTCCCTTGCTCTTTTGCTCTGTGTGCCAAAAGACTCCCCGTCCCTTCATAGGCATGGCCTCTGGAAGGGGGCATGTTGCTTGTGCCTGGAGTTTGGACCACACTTTCTTCAAGGGAACATGTGGGGGCTGTCACGCTGAATGACTAGCATTTTCCTTCCCATGATTGGAAGAGGCTCTGTCGGTCACTTTCATTTGTAGTGATCTGGCCCCATTCGTAGTGGCCCTAGACACTGCCCCAAAGTAGCAGAATGTGTCTTTATGCGTAGGACTTCCTGCAGCCCCATGGATCGAGCTACGCTCTCCTGTTTCTTTGTGATATTACCCTGTTTGGGATAGAATGTTCCTTAGCAACGCCCTTTGTGTGTCCCCCTCTCTTGCTCTGCCTTTGGGTGTGGCCTTCCTAGATGTCGGTGGACCTGCTGACAGCAGAGATCATGAAGCTGGACTCAGCCCCCTGAAACCTGACCCTTGCCTCATTTGAATAGCTTCTCCTCAATAAAAGGGTTCAGCACCTGTGGGCTTTCTCTCTTTCTGTGAACCCTTAAGGGTCAGAGGAGCCGTCAAAGCACCCCCCAAAGAAAAAGATATCTCGGTCTCTTGTGTGGTCATTTCATGCACCCCAGTTCCCCTGGAGTGACCCTGAGTGTTTTAGTCACAAAGAACTCGGCAGGAGCATTGTTGTTCACGGCGATGACAGTACAGCCATCAGAGCTTTTCAGATGGCTTTATGGGGTGGTGGGGGAGCATTCTGAGTTGCAAAAGGAACCCAATATTCCTAAGCTATTGGAGGAGGAATGAAGAGCCCTCTCACATCTCCTCTGCACGGGGTGTGAGCTAAGCGACTGTCCTGGACAACCCACTTTTCTCGTGACACAGTGGAGTTAGTCTTATCTAATTTATTGGTCCCCCCCCCCCCGGGCTTGTATTTATTTGAATTAACCTTTTTAGTGTGAGATCATGGTAGTGCCACATGAAATGGCAAGAAGTGACCCAGAGGTCTTTTCCTGCTCCTCCTTGCTCAGGGCAGCTACCAAATCTTGAAACAAACCAGACACAAGCAGAGGAGCGCCGGGACAGGGGACAGAGGAAGGCAACTGGCTGGAGACCTCTGGAATAGGGAAACAGCCACTAGACCCTCACTCAGAAGGAGACCCAGGCCCAGTGTTTCCTGCTGCTTCTAATTTAGCAACGGAGGGGGCCTAAGCAGGGACCTTGACCTACAGGGACCTCTGCCCGTGTTGCCACAGGACAGCAGCAAGGGAAGCCCTCCCACAGACACCCCGCCAGCAAGTGCTCTCCGTCCCTGCAGGAGGACTCTAAATAAGAGAGAGGGATCCTTCGTCCCTAGGCCCAGTTCCCCCATGGTAACACGAGGTAAAACTCCGGGGGTCACTGCAGCCGGGCACTGACGTCCATCCCACCCACCCTCCTTTCCCCTCCGCATCTTTGCCTGTGCTGCCGGTGTGAATGTGTACTTCACTCTACATGAAGGTGACACCGCGTCCGGCTGGGTTCCACTAAGCGGCCAGGACACTTGGGGCCTCTCTAGAACATCCGTGTGCCTTGGGAACCACTCCGCCTCGCCTCCCTCTGCCCCATCCCATCCCACCCTGCAGCCAGTGATCCGTCCTTTCCCAGATCTGAGCAGACAAGGGTGGGGAGGGTGGTCCAGGCCAGACGGAGGCCATGTTCAAGGTCTAAGCAGGAGGCCCTGAGGTGACCGCTGTGGGTCTCCGAGGCCCGTTCCTAGGGGGCAAGGAGATGGTTCTCCCAGTCTCGAGGCGCGGCACAGGGCCTCCGAGGAGCAGCCGCGGTGCCTGTGCTTACTGAGGCTCTTCATGGGGACTTCTTTGGCTCTCACCCTCCCCTTTGGGGTCCTGTCTGCAGGTGACCAAAGACAAGCGTGCTGGCTTGGATTTTCTTGCTGTCACATCTGTGCTGACTTTTGGTTGTGGCTTGTCACTCCGTTTCTGCTTCCTCTGTGGGGAGGCTGCACCCATCCTTCTGGGTGCCACGTGACCAGTGCTCAAGCCGCACTGTGCACAGTTGAGGCTCAGAGAGGCCACAGGAGCCCACAGACCCAGGGCAACGCCATGGGCCTTATGCTGGGGCTGTGGTGGGAGAAGAGGTCTCTCCCAAGAAGGGCCTCGGAGAGAAGGGGACCTTGACTCAGGACCAGGGGGGCCCTTGGCTTATGTGATGGAAAAGAATTTCCACACGCGCCAGTCAGGGGCATAGACAGGTTTACTTAGGAGAGTGAATACAAGTTCAAGGAGAACTGGGGCGATCTCGAGAGAGAGAATGGGGGTAAAGCAAGGAGTACAAGGTCAAGGGAGAATGTGGGCCGTCTTGAGAGTGAGAGATGAGGTTTTGGGTTACTGGGTGAGGGGTGGGTACGGAAGGATGTAAGGCTGATATGAGTCGTGTGACCTCAAGACGGGTTCTGGTGTCTGGTCCGTCTCAGGATCCTGGGGCTGATGGGGTCTTCATTACAGGATCAGCAGACAGTGCTGCCAAGCCCCCTAAGTTATAGGCTTCTCAAAATATCCTATCTCTTGATCTATTTATTGGGGGGTTAATTAACATTGGTGCACAACTAGACCCCCAGATGCCCCAGGAATTGGGAGTGACAGCCTTGGAAGAGAGACTGGCGTAGGGAGGGATGGGCCTGGAAGGTGTGCAGGGCTTCTGGGTCCAGATCTTCTTTCCTGGTCCTTCCTTTGCCTCCTTCCTCCCGTCCTACCCGAGGGTTTCTGAGAAGAGACTTCTGCTCATCACCACCTGGAAGCTCTAGAGGTCAGCTGTCGCCAGCCACTCAGCTGGAGCTGAAGAAAGAAGACAAAGTGGAAGGAGAAACCGAGACAGGCTGGGTCACGGTGGCGTCACGGGAGACCCCTGCAAACCACCTCTGAAACCGACCCTCTCCCAGAGAGCTTTCATCCCACCAATCAACCCTTTCCTTTTGCTGAAGCCCATTCGGGTTGAATTTTCCCACATGTGCCACAGAGAACAACCAGCTCATTTGCATAACCACAGAAGAATCTGCAAAGCAGAACAAAGATTTAGCAGAAGCAACCAACCCCAAAGGTAGAAACTGGAGTGAACTGTCCCGGGGCCTGGGGACCACCCAATGTGGCCCTCCCCGTCTCTCTCTGGGTCTGCCTCTGTCTCTCAGATTGGATCTGGAGTGTCCCTCGGTCCCCTTCCCTCTCTCTGTAGACTGGCATCTGTGCTCACTCTGACCCCCTTGGCCACACCCCTGAGGGACATGCTTCCTGGCTGGCTCCTCAGAGCTCAACACTCTCTTTGTTCCAGACTCAGATTCCCAGAGAGAAAGTCCGACAACCTGTCCAGGTGGGTCAGGTGTCCGCTCAATGGGTCAGTGAGCTGAGGGGTGGGGGTGGGGCAGAGGAACCCCAGGAGTGCAGGCTGAGCAGGGAGGGATGGGCCACGAGAAAACCAGCATTTCTAAAAAAGGTGAGCGCTGCAGCCCTCACTGTTCAGATAAGGAAATGGAAGCTCAATGTGTTGCTGGAGACCAGGAAGCCACCAAGCACAGCTTCACAACTGGAACCTGAGGTCAGATGGACCCCCAGCCCCAGCCCCTGGCTCTCTTCTGCCTCCTCCTTCCATCTGCTCCTCTCGCCTGCCACTTCCTGTTGGGACAATCTGAGCAGGAAATGAGGAGGAAGAATTTCTGGAGAGGAGAGAGGGAGGGCTCCGGAGGTCTGCAAAGGTGCAGCCCCTACCTGGGCCTGTTGGTAGCTGGGGCAGTGCCGCTTCCTGCCGAGCTCTGCACCTGGACAGGGGCTGCTCCGGCTTCCCCTGCAGCGCAGGCCTGGGAGCCCACGCACTTGAATCCCATGCGCAATTACTCACGCAAGCAAGTGCTTAATTAAATTTTCATGACAGTCATTGTGTTTTACCCAACCTGCTAACTGATGGCCCTGTGTCTCTGCCTGCGCCCTGCAATCCCACTGCTGAGATCTTTATCTGAGGCCCTTCAACCTCCATAAATCCTTGTCGATAACAAGCGCCTCGTAATTGCCACAAGGCCTGAAGCAGAGCAGGCATCTCTGCAGACACGGTGCACCACCAGCCAGGGACGGGCTCCACGGGTGTCTGCCAGGCAGGTGACCGTGGCCTCAGCTTCCAGGAGACGGTCTCTGACCTTTTCTAGGTGGGGCCATAGGACGGTTCCAGGTAAACAGGAGCAAGAGGGGTGGGAGGGGCCGCAGAGGGGTGGGAGGGGCCGCAGAGGGGTGGGCCTGGAGTCACCTCTCCACAGACAGGAGGGAGGGGATGTGTGTGTCCCCTGCTCCTCCTGCAGGGGCCCCAGGGTCACTTGGGTGACCTTGGGGTGGTGAACTGACCCCTCACCTCCTCAGTTTCCCCCCTGGAAGGCAGAGCTGAGGAGCCCTCTGTGACGGGGCAGCTGCGAGGGTCCCAGGGGCAGGTCCAGGGAGCTCCCAGCAGCTGCTGGGTCAGTCAGTGGCCGTCACTTGCGTTGGGGGCACAGATGCGTGTTGAGCTGGGGTGGGGGGATGGCGATGTGGCACCTGGCTTCCAGCCTCCCTGTGCTGAGGTCTCAGATGCCCTGGGCCCTTGGCAGGAGGGTGGGTGGACATTGAGCTGGACTAGGGGTGGACAGGGATGTGGGCAGTGGACTTTCCTGTGCAAAGAGATCAGAAGGCTGTGGGGACAGCCCCAGCCAGAGGTGACAGGAAACAGGACTCTGCATTGGAGGAACTGGGGGCAGGTGAGTGACAGCCCAGAGGTCAGCCCAGGAGTCCGGCAGCAAAACATATGGAGTGCGGGAGCCTTGCAGGCAGGCTGTGACCCACCAGCCTGGGGCTGAGCGTGGGGGAGGGGGGATCCTGGCCAGGGGTGAGGACAGTACCTTGAGGTCTGGGGACAGGACCAGGGCCTGAGCGCAGATGCAGCCCAGGCCCTGGGAACACGCATGCGGCAGAGAGTGGAGGGCCCGTCCATACTCGTTCTGCATCTGCGGCTGCAGAACTTAAGACCCAGGGAGTGATGGGGAGTTCAGTGTGACCAGACTCTGGGGGCAGCAGGGACTGTGCAGGAGGGGCTACTTAGGACAGACTATCAAGAATCATGAAGAAGGGGGCCAGGCTCAATGGCGCACACCTCTAACCCAGCAGCTCCGGAAGCTGAGGCAGGAGGAAGGTGATTTCAAAACCAGCCTCAGCAACGGCAAGGTGCTAAGCAGCTCAGTGAGACCCTGTCTCTAAATAAAATACAAAATAGGGCTGGGGATGTGGCTCAGTGGCTGAGTGTCCCTGAGTTCAATCCCTGGTAACAACAAAAAAAATCATGAAGAGGGGAAGGAGGACCTGGGGACTTGGGAGGAAAGAGATCTAATCCTCTGATGGGAAGATGTCAGAGTAAAAGGAAGAGAGCTAAGTTCCAAGCCCGACTCCGTCTCTGAACCACGGTGCATGGGGTGGACCTGGAGGGCCATCTCACTTGCCCTCTCTGGGCATCCTCTGTTCATTTGCAGAATGAGGTCATTTTTCGAAAATCCCTCTCCAATTGGGCCCTGACCCTAGAGAGCCCTGAGTGATACTTTCCAACCCCACCCCCGACCCAGGCTCCCTTTAGATCTAACGGAGGCTTCCCAGCTCCAGTGCCTCCTGCAGAGGAAGGCGAGTCCGCCCCAGGATCTCTCCCTGCCCACTCTGCAGCCCTCGGTCACTGTGTGACCCTGGGTCTGGCAGTAACAGGGCTGCTCGGTCCATTAGAGTCTGGGGCTAATGTGCCCTCGCCCTCGGAGGTGCCATTACAAGGCGGTTTCGGCAGCTTCCTCTGTGGGAAGGAAGAAAACGGGGAGGGGGGGGCAGCAGGAGATGAACCCGCCTTGTGCCCTGGGAGGAGGCTGAGGCAGCAGAGATTCGTGCTGGCTTCGGCTTGGGGACTGGAGTGCTGGAGGAGAGGCAGCCTGGGCGCTTTCACTTCCTGCCACAGGGAACGGCGCCCGCTTGCTCTCAGGAGGCATCGATTGATTGGTTTTATGACACTGAAAACTCAGAGCTGAGGTCCTTGATGTCACAGGACCTTCCCTGTCATTTAGCATCTTTCCCCCAGGTAAGGACAAGCTCAGGTCCCCGCTCAAGGCCATCGGAGAAGGGAGGACATCTCTTCTCTAGAGGTCCCATCCCAGCCCCGAGCCAACTGGAAGGGACAGTTTAATGGAGTGAGGTGGGGTGGCTTCATCCCACCCAGGACCATCCTGGAAGCTGGGGTGGGTTTAACCTGACTCCGGATGGCCTGGAAGTGGGGGAGGGGGAAATTCTATGCAAAGGCACGGGGAGCCAAATCCACAGATATCCTCTTCTGGGCTGAGGGTGGAGGATGAGAAAAACAAATGTTGTCAATGAAACCGAGAAGAAGGGGAGAAACTTCGAATATCCACATCCCAACCATCTCATGAGACCACAAATAATAAGATACTATCTGAATTTTAGTGTTGGAAGGACCTTCACAAGCATCTGGGTCCAACGGAGACCCAGAGGAGCTAAGTGAGTATCTCAAGGTCACACAGCTCATTTCTGGAAGAACCAGTTCTCCCAAAGAGAGCTCATTCCAGCAGGTGTCCAGCTGCTTGGAGCTCTTGCAGATTCAGGTGACCCTTTCTGTAAGGGGTGACTCTCTTTGGCCTGAACTAGCCGGGTAGCCTGCATGAGCAGAAGTCCACCCTGCTCCAGGGGAGGGGGAGCCAGGAACCTCCCCGCATGGGCAGGTGCTGTCGTGCAGTTGTGCTCAGCTGGAGACCTCTCTCTGAGGCTCTGTGGCTCTTCACACCTCACACTCCTGACCACAGAGCTGACCGACCTCTGCCCACCCCCACCCCACCTCCCTGCTGGTCTAGGAAAGCAGGAGAGTTTGACTCCAAGAGTATGAGGAACCATGGAGCCCTCTGTGGGCTTCTAGTCAAAATCCTGCACTTTGCAAGGTTGGGAGGAGTGGGGCCCTGGGGAAGGGCAGGCACAGACAGCTGCGTGGAAGGGGCCTGGCTGTCAATCAAGTGTCCTCCCGCCACATCACTGGCCCTGGGGACTGCGTGAGCCCTGAGCTGCCACCCCAGGGCCTCTGGTGGGAACCGTCCACCATCCTGAGGCCTGACGATTTCCATGCTAATGACATAACAGCGTCACCCTCTGCTGGGCGTATCCACCCTCCTGTTTAAACACGGACACTGCGGGCCTGACAGCAGTCCAGGGTCGTGCTGCTGAGCTGTCAGAGATCAGGACCAGCCCCCAGCCTCCCTGAGTCCCCAAACAGAAGCTTTCAGGGTGTCTGTCATTTTGTCCTCCTTTGATTCCCATGAGGCTGGAGTCTCTGGGACTGTTGCCCTCATTACACACAGGGTGGGGGGGGGGAATCAGGCTCAGAGAGGTCCAGCTACCTGGACTCCAACACACAGCTAGCCAGTGGTGAGGGGGGTAGTGGGCTGGTTTCCTGGAGTCCAATCTGGAGCTCTGTGACCCTTTTGCTCACTGCCACTTGTGCACCTAGGAACGGCATTCCACGGAGAGTAACAGAGACCTCGTGAGCAGAGGTGTGAACAAAGTTGGGGCTTATTTTTCTCACTTAAAGGAGCATCTGGTAACATCCTTTGGTGAAGGGGGCACCCTGCAGGCCCAAGATGCCCTGGTGCTGACCTCCTCCATTACCTCTTGTGTCCTCCGCATGTGCAGACTGTGCTGATGTCATGGTGTGTCTTTGCCTTCAGTGGGCCTGGGGCCCCAGGTCAGGGTGGGCAGCAGCCAAGCCACCACCAAGTCCATCTTGGGGAGCTTTCCCACAATGCCCTGTAGCAGACTTGCTCCTATCTCATTGGCTGGAACTGTGTCACATGACCTCCGGGGGCAGGATGTTGTTTTCCCATCTCATTGGCTGCAGCATGTCACATGATTGCCTGCAAAGGAGGGGGGTTGTAACTCTGTCCCCATGTCCCCGGTCCCATTGTAGGGTTTCTGCTGCTCTTGCTGGATCCACACAGGCCTCCTCTGCTGCTGTGTCCAGGCTGAGCACTTACCCAGGACCCCAGTGAGCTGTTAGCTGGGCCAGGCTTGCTCCTGACTCCAGCCTGGGCACCCAGCAGCTCCCCCACATCTGTATGCCTGTCCCTCCCTGTTACTCAAAGTCCAGACTCCCTCAAGTCCCATTCCTCTCTGTCATCCTGTGGTTGGGGATGTTCATTAGGGTGACCTTGGTGGAGGACACTTGGGCCGTATCTATCAAAACCCCAAATGCATGTCACCTTTGTCCCGGCAATTTAACTTCTCATCGTTGATCATTCTGAAGACGCAAGGATATACACTGTTAGAAGGATCTTTACCAGGATATTATTTGCAATGGCCAAATTGGACAGATCTAAACGTCCATCATTTGGCTTGGTTCCCTCGGTCTGGACGACCATGCTGTTTAATACTAAGCGGCATTAAGAGGATCCGGTTGGAACTTGGCGCTGTGACATGGGTGAACGCCCACGACAGGTTTTAGAAGAAAGAAGCAGCTGGCTGAAGGATGTGAATGGCATGACAAAGGTTCCAATAAACTTGGCTTGGACACAGATCGATATCTGGAAGTCTGTGCGCCTGTTTGAGGAGATCCTTCGGGGAAATTTCTCGTGGGTTGAGACCCGGTCGCCACATGAATTCTCCACCGCCTTATCCCGACCACGGGTAGATGAGCTCCTTCTCCTCTTACCTTGTCATCAATAGTTTCCTTGCCCCAGGAGAGCTCCCATCAGTGCACAAACACACCATTAATTCCCTAACGCCCCAAACAAAAACAGATCAATGTCACTCCTCTCCTGCTCCCTTTGTTGTTTGTATAGTGAACAAAAGAGCCACCATCCCGCTGTCTCCTGCCTTAGTGGCATGTTTCTTTTCATGCCACTCGACCCCCCACCCCCTACCTGCCACCCTCCAACCCTTCTTGTTGAGGTCACCAACAACCTTGGCATTGGGTGAATAGATGGTCAACTCTGGGTGACATGTGCTGCCTCCTCCTCTCTGGCACCTTCTCTCCGATGAGCTCTTCTGGTTTCCTGCCGTCTCCAGGCTCCTCCTTCTCCCTCTCCTGGGCTCCTTCCCTCTTGGACCCTCTGCCCATGACCTCCTGCAGTCCCAGGACTCTGCGCTTGCTCTTCTCCTTTTCCTCCAACGTGGCCTTAGTGACGTCACCAGACTGTGGCGTTGACAGTCCTCTTCTATGCTCATGGCTCCTCCACTGATCTCAGCCCAGCGGTGTCTTGATTTCCAGGCTTTTACACCAGCTTTTACACCAGCCCCTTCTCCCCCTCTTCCTCTGTTTCCTTCTTTATCTCTCTCTCTCCCTCCCTCCTTCTCCCCTTTCCTTCCTTTCCTCCAAAATTCCTGCAACAACCATGCATTATAATTTTCACCCTCACACACGCACGTGTGTGGAGGAGCCCTGTGAGTAGGGCTTCGTAACAGGACACAATTCCACACTTCACAAGAAGATGTGCCGAAGCCTTCCTTGAAGTTCTGCGCTCTCCGGGGACCTGCAGAAAAGGCTTCTGGTCTACAAACACCTCTCTTTCTCGCTCCTGTGCCACCCTCAGAGACACGCTCTGTTCCCTCTTCAAGTTCTGCGCAATTCAACCAGCATCTTCCCAGTTACCGGTGCTGTCCTTGGTGCCGTGGGGACAAAGGTGGACAAGGAGGGTGTCCCAGGGAAACTGCACCATCAGCTCCTGCACAGAGCCAGTTTCCAAGAACTTGCCTGAAGAGCTGAGCCACGTGCAAGTTAGCAAGACCCTGAGCTTCATGGTCAAGTCCAATCAAAGCTCAGGACGAAGAGGCGAAGAGGCGGGTGTCTCTGATGTCCCATGTGGGAGGGACAGCCAGAAAAGGGAGCTTGATAATAGACAAGGAGGTGCCCAGAGATGGGAGGGGCATGGCCATTTTGTCCTCTTCTACTCCCCCTGGGCGTGTTCCACCAAAGCAGAGCTTTTTGAAAAGCCATGATGGAAAGAATCCCCAGGTCCACTGAGACAGCAGGTGAGGAGTGAGGACGCCCTTTAGGTTTTTCAGGAACCCCTCCAGGCACACACCCTGCCTTCTTTCACCTTCAAGTGGTCCTTATTTTAGAAGCTTCCAGAAAGAGGGATGGGCCTGAGAGCTGACCCTGAGAGAGGGTCAGGGGCTGGACCACACGGGGCTTCGGATGCCAAAGAGCTCTGTTTTCCCCCCGAGGGAAGTGAGGTGCCACTGAAGTGTCTGCAAGTGGGGGACGACAGGACCAGGACCACCTTACCGATGTTGCAGTGGCTGAGGAAAGGCGAACGCGTTGGAATGGGGGTGCCTGGGGGGCTGCAGGGACACAAGTTATGACACTGTCATGCAGATAGGAGATGATGGAGCTTTTAGGAAAATGGATACAGAAATGCAGAGGAGCAGGTGGGAGACATCGAGGAGGGAGCGCCCCTGGACTTGGTGGGAGTGAGGGAGAGGGAGGTGTCCAGGTGGCCCCTGGGCTTCCAACCTGGGGAACTGGGTGAGTGAATGGAGTCTGTTGTCACAGACTTGGTGGCAACAGAAGGCCAGGTGCAGAAGGAAGACTGGGAATTCCATCCTTGGCAAATGGAGTTCCAGGTGCCTGTGAGATGGAAGGTGTGTGTGATGGCGCTACGGATCTGTCCCGTCTACAGTTCGGTCTTTTCCAGAATGTTCTAAACGTGGAATCAGAGTGCACAGGCTCTTCGGTCAGGTTTCCTTCATTTAATGAAACGTTTTTAAACATCACCCGTGTTTTTGCAGGGCTTGATGGCTCATTTATTTTTAGTGCTGCATGATAAATATCCCTTGTGTGGTCACATCCCAGTTTCTGTTTCGGCTCACCTATCGGAGGACTCTTGATTGCTTGCAGTTTGGGCAATTATGAATAACGTTGTACAGACATTTCTGCCCATGTCTTTTGGATGCACCTATGGTTTTAAATCAGTTGGGTAAATCCCTGGAAGCATGGCTCCCGGATCTTAGGATAAGACTGTGCTGAGGTTTGTGAAAAACCGCCCAATGGCCTTCCCAGGTGGCTCTGGGCTTGTGTTCCTACCAGCAACCAGCAGAAGTCTCTGTTGATCCATTCCCTTGCCAGCTATGAGAACCATCAGGATTCTGAATTTTAACTCTTCTAAGAGGCATGAAGTGTCACCTAATAGGCATGACAAATGACGGTGCGCGTCTTCATATTCGTGCTTAATCTGTTTTTTTTTTTTGTTGTTGTTGATGATGAAGTGTCTGCCATATATATATTTTTTCAGCTCTTTTTAATGGGTTATTTGTTTACTTATTGTTGAGATTTAAGGTTTTTTTTGTATATATCTTGGATATACAAATCCTTTACCAGATACGTGTTTTGCAAATATTTTCTTCGGGTCTCTGCTATGTATTTTCATTTCCTTCCTTCCCTCCTCCCTCCCTCCCTTCCTTTTGGGGTGCTGGAGATTGAACCCATGGCCTCATGCCTGCTGGGTAGCACTCCACCACTGAGTTATACCCCTGGTCCTATTTTCATTTACTTAACAGCATCTTTTTTTTCATATCAGATGTTGTTAATTTTAATTAACTCCAAATTGTCAACTTTCGCCCGTGTGTCCTGATTTTGATGTTGTATTTGTAAACTTATTGTTAACTCCAAGGTCACTCAGAACTGTTTTCCCACTAGGTTTTCTTTTACAAATTTTAGATTTTTGCATTTTCCATTTAGGTCTGTGATCAATTTTGATTTAATTTTTGTGAAAGATGTAAGCTCTGTGCTTTCTTTTTCTTTCTTTTATATTGAAGTCCAATTGTTTCAGCACCATTCACTTAAGAAAGACCATTCTGTCTTTGCTAAATTGCTTTGCTCCTTTTTAAAAAAAAAAAAACATCAATCAATCAATCATTATATTTGTCTGGGTCTATGGATCTATTTCTGGACTCTGTATTCTGGTCCATTGATCTGTGTGTCTAACTTTTGCTGTCTTGATTATTGTAGCTTTATAATTAATCTTGAAATCGGATTGTGCGAGTCCTCCAACTCTGTTCCTGACTTTTATTTTATTTTATTTTTGTCCTAGTTACTGTGATGGCTCTTCTAGGTTCTTTGCTTTTTTGAATACATTTTAAAATCAATTTGTCAATATCTATAACATATTTCACTTGGACTTTGGTATTGCATTTAGTGTACATATCAAATTGAGAAGAAATGACATCTTAGCTATATTGAATCTTTCAATCTATGAACACGGAATCTCTCTTCAATTTAGATAATCAAACGTTTACTGTACCAGTGTTTTGTATTTTTTCACTTATAGATCCTGTGCATATTTTGTTATATTTTTATGTAATTTTTGCCTCCTCCTCCTCCTCTTTCCTATTGTAAGGATGTGTGTATAAATATCTATATTAAAATCACTCTTGTTCACTGCTCATATATAAGAAAACAATTAATGTTTATATGTTAACCTTATGACCTGTGACTTTGCTACACTCATTAGTTCTAGAGCATTTTTTTGAAGAATTTTTGGCGTTTTCTGGACAAATGTTTTCTGAGAGTACAGACAGATATGTAGACCTTTTACTGTGGTGAGAGGGGTTATCCTTAACTTATTCTTGACCTTAGTCTCACCACTAAGGATAAGGTTAGCTGTGGATTTCTTGTGATGTTCTTTATTAAGTCGAGGAAATTTCCCTTGATTCCTACATTGCTGAGAGTTGGGGTTTTCTGTTTTTGGGTTTCGTTGATCTGTGGGCATGGATTGTGTCAAGTACTTTTTCTACAGGAATTGATATGACCATATTTTTTTTCT